ATGGGGGTGGGGTGGGGCGGTTCCAAATCCCACCCCACAATGAACGTCAACAAAATACTAGCTATAACACTAAGCGTCCCGGTAGAACATAGATAGTGACAGATGTTATAGACGCTTCCTACCATCTTGACACGTGAAAGTGATTTTAAACCTGTCTACTATCGACACCCCTGAAGGTTTTGGTAGCATTCCTTATGTCATTATGTAACCTTAACTTGTTGGCATGTTTCATTTAAACTTTCTTTGTCTGATAATCATGTATTGAATGCTAGATCTGATATGATACATTAGTCAGATGTCTAATAAGACCCTTTGTCTTGAAGGGTTTATAAACCCAGAATGGAAACGACATAGTCAGTGAGGTCGGGGCAAGGACGCGAGAGCGGAGGCCATGGGCGCCTTGGCACGAGCCGAGACGGAACGAGGGAGAGCGTCTGGGAGTTGGCACATTACGATGTGTGTACTTGATGTGTAAGAAGCAGAGAATAAAAGTATTATAAGATGTTAAACTAGTCTTGTCATCTGAACCTGATATAAAGACCCAATACTGTAACAATAGTATTGTATAATTATATAGTTGTTCGCCGATCGTTGTCTCGCCGGAAAGCAGTTTTATTTAAGTTGACATAAAGTTTATGTCATATATACTGAGCGCCATTGAATACGCATCACTTAGTTTTTCGTATAACAAAATGATCCTGTAAACATATTCAAATGGGAACACGTCAATAACAACACATTTGTACACTTATGGATGTTTAATCTGTAATCAAGGGTACAAAGTCAGAGGGGTCAAAACCGAAAGTACGACACAGATGTAAGTAGCGCGTGTGTCCCCCACGGGCCATCATCACGGAAGGCTACAGTAACAACGCGACCCCTGCAAATGTGTAGGGCGGTCCGGTGATGAAATGTGAAGCCTCTGCACACCATTACACTTCCCCCATCCCATCGATCCGTTTCGAAGACGCAGCAGTCTGCAAGACGTTCCCCAAGACGTCTCCACACACGTTGACGGCCATCAGCGTGATAAAGATGAAAGCGACTCTCATCACTGAAGAGCACACTTTGCCAGTCTACTCTTCTCCATGTCTGGTGTCCTTGAGCCCATATCAAACGCCGCTGACGGTGATGATCCCTGAGGATAGCTCCAACATAAGGTCGTCGTGCACGGAGTCCTACTTCTCTTAGACGACGTCTTACGGTGTTGGCACTTACTGGTCCTTGTCTTCCGACGACTGCTGCACCTGTTCGAGTCGCTGGGCGGAATCTGTCACGCAGATGAGTGACCCCAATGTAGCGGTCTTGAGCCTGGGTTGTAACGCGTTGTGGACCAGGACGTTGACGGTCACGTGTTGATCCAGTAACTCGAACACGTTCCACCAACCTTACAATAGTGGACTGATGACAATTGAAGTGTCTGGCAATAGCACATGTAGACATGCCAGCCCTGGACATTCCCATGGCTTCATTCCGTTGATTTTCAGTTAGTCTCGGCATCTCTAACTCGATTCCTTCACACGTCCAACAAAAAATTACGACAGATTGACGTTTCACAGTTGATGTACTGCACATTAAGTTGAAAACATGCTTTTAAAGGGCTCACACACAATGCTGCACGTGAATATTGGGTTTTTCATGTGCATTTCGTGCAATTTTTTTTTTGCACACGGGCCGATATTTTTTGTGTTTGGGACCATTGTGTGAAACAATAGTTCATAGTATTGCATAATATTATACATACAAAACCACCTAGTAATACTATATTTGGGAAAAAAAAGTGATGCGTTTTCTATGGATTGTGCCTACATAACACTGAGCAACCTGAGAAAATTTTTGAAAAATTAAGTCAATATCCTGGCAATTGAGTTCATTGCTGGGAGAAATTCTTGTGGACGAGAGGACCAGAAATATGAGTCAATGGGACAGAATCTCGAGATCTGCCCCTGTCAATTCCGCCTGTTTTGCAAGGGTTGACATAACATTTGTATAGTTTGACGCCCCACGACCCACACACCAGTATAACTGGGCAGTTCATTATAACCGTGAATAAACTGAATATGATAGTGCTCAGACAGTATAAGACAACATATGAGTAGAAGAAGGATATAATAGTCAATGTCATGGTAAAGTTGGAACCAAATTCTCGTTAACGAGAGGATAAAAATGGGACAGAATCTTGAGGCCTATCTGTCAATTTCGCCTGTTTTGTTTGTTTACCTCATTAATTCCTTTAATGTACCCCCCCCCCCCCATTTACGCCCCTGGGTGGGGATAAGATTGGCGGGAAATGAGTTCACGTTGATTGAAATGATGAATTTCTAAGAGCTTGGTGAAACATCTCTAAATGTGTTTATAAGATTCCCATTGTGTGGGGGTGGACACCGGGGTGGGTGCCCGTGTGTGTGTGGGGGGGGGGGAGGGGGGGTGTAATGTATTCAGAAACCAATTCACATTGTAAATCTTCATTCAAATCAACGTGGAATCATTTCCCGCCAACCCCCCTCCCCCAGCCCCAGTCAACATAATGACACTCACCCCCCCCCACCCATTGTAGACATTTGACCCCCTATATCTCGAAAACGCCCCTTCAAACGCCTGATCACCAGTTAATGTATTAGGTCCTAATAAGAATGCTAGTACATGTGACAATAGAACTATTTGCAGTGAACCTTTGAAAGTAAATAATGAACTCGTTGTTCTTAGTTCGGTATGTGAATTTAACTGTGCCCCAAACACCCAACCTGATACAGGTACACAACTACGCAGGAGTACTAGATCTGCAGCTGGAACTCACCAAAATCCATACCATTTACCTAAATCTGTCACATGAGACTGATTGTATAAAAACGTTAAAAGCTTTGAACTATTTAGACTTTTCATATTGTTAACTGTATTTTTACTTTTATGATTTGTATTTTATTTGTTTATGTAACAGGGACGTTACTATGTTTAGCGGGGTAGAATGTGACCAAGCTATACCCATTTTTTCTTTGTGTCTGTGTGTTTTGCCAACAGGCCACGAATCTTAATGGATCATCTTTGAACTTGGGATGTGTATTCCTTATAGCCTAAGGACGACAACTGCATGTCCCGACCCCCAGGGGCAGAGCTAAGCCAAATTTTTGTGTTTGTCGTTTACAGGCCGCAATTCTGAATGGATCAGCTTGGTACTTGGCATATATATTCCTTATAGTCTAAGGGCGTCAACTAATGATTTTGGTGAATGCCCCAACTCCCAGGGCCGGGGCCACGCCCAATTTTTGCCTTTAGCGCCCGAAAGCCACAATTCTGAATGGATTATGTTGGTATACTTATTCCTTATACTCTAAGGACGGCAGCGTCACATCCCCTTTTTTTGTTAACATTTGGTCTGAAATTAGGCAAAACAAACCGAACGCCCGACGTGGTTTCCCCTTGTCAGTGGTGCAGAACGGAGGGCTTGACAAGGACAGCTGTCTAGTCCTTCGGATGAGACGAAAAATCGAGGTCCCGTGTATACATTAGAATGCACGTAAAAGATCCCTTGGCAGTTGGAATTCGATATAAGAGTAGGCGATAGTGCCGCTGCCGGGCGAAATTTCCCTCGTAGCACACTGTATGGCGTATGCCCGTCTTCATTAGCCCAGGTTAGGAGCAGAACAGTAGGACGTAAAACCCCATTTCATTTCATTTCATTTCATATTACAGCCATTTCATATTTCATTCTCTTCATTTTAAAAAGTACCGTATCAGTCAAAGCAGAACTGTGGACGTATATTGCAGCGTTAGCGATGTTCTAGTTTCCGTTATGATTATGTGAAAATTAACGCTTATCATTGACAAGAACTACAGCATGTTTATTGTTGATCCCCCCCCCCATAGGCGTACGGGCTCAATGAATGTTAGGGGGCGGGGGGCAGAACCCGAAATGCCCGAAAACATTTCGGGTTTACCAGCGGCGCCGGTCTTTCTCGAATGACGAAGAAGCGGAGCTTACCTTGTATGGACCCCCCAAAGGAAATTTTTGAATATTTGACGGCTGCAAACACGTTTTCCTGCTATTTCAGCCCGTGAACAAAGCAATTTCAGAGTGGTCTAATATAGCCTAATTAAGATGGCTGACTCGAATTCCAATGGATCGTTTACATTCCACGGAGACGGGAGGAAATTTAACTGCTGCAAACGCATTTTCCTGCTATTTCATCCTGGCTGACCAGAATTCCCAACAAACAATCAATCGTCGCGGGGTATGGGGGCCTCACCCTGCCGGAGAAAATTTTGAAAATTTAACCACCGCAAATGCGTTTTCTGCTGTTCTAGCCTGTGTAAGCAACTCCAAAAGTATCCAATGGTTTTGTAACCGAAATCCCATTCTGAATTCCAACCATCCAATCAGACTGTTGCAGCTGCATTCACAAATAATATTCGATGTCAGAAAAAAGTCGCACAAAATAGAGTGGCTCTAGACAAAATGTTTTAATCCATAGTCAACTCAGTACAAATTCGTGGCATTCAATTAAAAGAAAAGTAAAATTAGTGTTTTATTAGGGCTCGATGACAGTTGGGGAAGCAAAACTAGAAATGCCCGAAAAAATTTCAGGTTTACAGACAGCGGCGCCGGTTTTCCTCGAGAGGCGAAGAAGCGGAGCTGACCTTGTATGGACCCCCACACAAGAAAATTTTGGAATATTTGACGGCAGCAAACGCGTTTTACTGCTATTCCAACCCGTAAAATTAGTGTTTTATTTGATTTCGGGCACTTTATTTTGCCAAGTAGATGAAACAAGTCAGCTTGCCCGAAAGTGTGGGGGCAGCTGCCCCCCCCCTGCCCCCCTGGCTCGTACGCCTATTCCCCCCTGGTCACAAAATTATGAAATAACTTACATCGTCAAGTTCTTGAAATTCCACTTCGCGCATGCGATGTACAACATAATTAATGTCATCACCATTATACGTCACCGATACGTGGGCTTTTCCGTTAGTATTCTAGTTCTATGTTTAAATGAATTAATTATTACTGGAGAAGACAGTCGAGCATCATTCACTTGTAGTAACAAGTTATAATAGGTCTACCTTTTTCTTCTTCCAAAACCAGTAAAATCTGGACACACTACTGAAGAATCATTGACAACCAGAAAGTTGGTCAGACGTCAAACAAGTAAAGGAAACAACAATTAGCCTACCACCAAAAGATGGGTTTATGGAATCTATTGTGTCGACTTTGGGGTGTAATAAATAGGATTTATGCACCCCTAGCACTAACCAACTATCACAATCTGCTAAATGATGAAGAGAATAATTTGGAGCAAGAAGTTGCAAATGGTATGTATTTGTTTAATGTTTCTATTTCTAAGATTACGTCAAGTCAGTTTTGTAACGTGAATTTAAAATTCTGTATGATGCACATATTTTGGTATTAGTTGTGTAGTAAAATTGCCCAGTCTCCCTTGTGTCTATAATGGACTGGACCAGTTTTTATAGTAGACTGGACCAAGCATGTGCTTTTAGAAGTTATAAAAGACCACATTCATATGCACATGCTCTCTCAATCTCAATAGCAAGTTCTCTGCCCTCTATGCTGAGTTGGAAACCTGTGTTTGACTAGAAGTGTAATAAGAGTTGGTGTTGTGGTGTAAAAGATATTAAAAGAGATCGGTTGATAAGTGCCCTTTTATCTATAAATATAGTGGTGAAAATATCGTTAACTGTACTGGGGAATCACCCCTTGACCCATCAAGCCTTACTTGGCCATCACAGGTTAGGTCAATGGGGGGGGGGGGGTGAAGCCGTGGGGCTTAGGCCTGATCTAATTGTAGGATAAAACCCCAATTTTACTATAAATGGCGCTGCGGCTTTTGAACTTTTGTGGGTTAGTGTTAGTGGGAGTTAGTTTAAAAATCCCGTTTCCCCTGGATTGAGTGGATATAATTCACCTAATTGCCCATGGTAAATTATAAAAAGTAGTAGTGATTGTAATTTCGTATCGGATATATTTATTAAGGTAATTGTAGTTCATATTGCAATTGGGCAAACGCATATACTCGAAAGCGCGGGAAAGTACTAGCCGTCACCTTGGTAACGCATGCTTTGTGAGTGCTTGGGGTTAGCTCTAGCTATATCGATAGTATTTGTCATTAGGAAACTCAACAAATAATTTAGATTACCTCACTGTGGATTATAATATTTCTCTCACTTTTATTAATCTGCAGGGATATTAATTTCTACTTAGTGATATTTATTGGTCTAGGTTTACGCATAGATAATACCGTATGATTGCCGACTCATGAATTCTCGACGTTATGTTGCGAAACGCGTGAAACGGCGAGAAAGGTGGTTAATCACTTCCGGTCTTCTGTTCTCGCTGTTTGTTTACTATAGGCCCAGTAGCGATATTTTTATTTAGCGCTTTCTTGTAGTATTAAATGTGGCATCATCTGGTTAAATGGTAACGAGAAATAGAAGCAATGTTCGAGGTAAGAATAAAAATGAATATCTTATAATTTTGATATTATATTGTATTATAAATAAGTATTACATTTCATGAAAATCTCGACACGTGTGTTGTCCAGTTAAGGCAAAGTTTGACAGCTTTGACCTACTTTTAAAAATCGGCAAAATAGTTTTCAATTCATTAATTTGTAAAATAATACTTGCAGATCATTAATAAATCGTAAATATATAAAATACAGTTTGGTATGAATAATAACATTGCTGTGTTGGCTATATATAAGCTTTTAATTACACAATTTTTTAAAAATCTTTTGTATTTTCAGCAGAACGTACTGGTACCCGTCTTTTGTTTGCTACCTAGGGGCCTAGGGGAGTGCCAGCTTGTGAAGCAAATATATTTCATGTTGATTTATTGTGATACTGATAAATAATTGTATGTTTTATTTATGTTATTTACTTCTTTTCATATTGTGTGTGTGTGTGTGTGTGGGCGGGGGGGGGGGGGGTATAAATATTGAGACACTAGACATTAATATATTGATAAAGTATTTTATTTTATGTATCTATTTATTTATATTTTATTTTTTTTTATTCCATTTTTTTTTGGGGGGGGAGGGGGGGGATATTATTATTTTCATTATTTTATTTGTTTTATTTTAATACTCAACAAGGGATTTGGTTTAAATTGTTTGATTGTATTATATCATTATTGATTTTAATTTTGTATAGTTGAATTAAGCATAATTATTTAATTTTATGTATTTCAAACATCAGAAAATAAACCATTCAAGCTATGTGTAATGTGTTTGTATGGTTATGTTGATGGTTAAATAGGTTGAGAATTGAAGCCAAATGACCAATTTTCGCGAAAAAGGGATCTGCCAGTTGGTGTTACAGAATTCAGTCAATTTTGCTCCGATATTGATAAGGTTGGTTTTGTTACAATGCTGAGATGTATGGCTTTTCAGGAAATAACACGGTTCTGGAGAAAAATTAATATTTAAAAATAGCTGCCGGTCGATATTTAAGGATATGGGTTTACTGTTCCATGTAATTAAATTAATCATTAAAAATATAACCTACAATTTTTGTTTCAATTAAATAAGTTAATCTTAACAATAATATTAGGCTATTGCATTTTTTGATTTAAATAATTTAATCTTATCAGTTGAGGAAGAAGAGTTGGTATTTCAATCTAATAAGGTGCCTATAAATTATATAATTATTCATCCAATTATGTAACATTAACATTGTCTGATCGCTTTATTTAATAATACATTTATTAATTTATCATAAAAGTATTGTTAATTAAAGATGCGTTTTTAAATGTTAAACAGGCATGATGTAAGAGCTAAATCTGCTTATTGCAGGTCTTTCTTTGGGCCTTAATGTTATGTAAATTATCAATTAGACATTTATTTACATGAATAGACCATAATCAACTCTCATGCCATCTGATTGCTCAGATTGTAAATAGATTAGAACGGTATGGTGGTAAATTTTCAATATATTCAATTTGCATTATCTATTTTTGAAATGTTATAGTTAATAACGAGAACGACCAGCTCTTTATCTAAATCTTACATAATTCCCCTTCAAATTTATTTCTATTGTTATTGTTTTATTTTAATTTAGGACACAAAGAAATATATTTTGGTTCTCGCTTGGATGACGTGTTTTAATTATTTTTTTTAAAAAAAAAACCCTTACAAAACAGTCTTGTTAATAACCCCGGTTACACGAAGTAACTCTGTAAAAAAATTTGACTAGATCTATAGGCTAAATTGTCAAGTATGCAAACAAGTTAAATGTTAATGACATGAATGATATTGGATACCGTAATCATATATTCATATAAACAACATGATGAGATAAATGTAGTGCCTTACAATTTTTAAAAACTCATCTGTTACAAACAAGTGATAACTTAGAGCTAAAGACTTTGTGTAGGTATGTTTTGCCAAGCGCTATGAACACAATTTTTGCGGAATTTTGGCGTTATAGAAATGGACGTTCATTATATTTATTTATTTGGTTCTTCTGGAAAAATACATACATCTATTTAAACACCAAAAGTACTTGGCTGTACTGTTCAAAAGCTTATAGTTCCAAATTTTTAAACAAAACATCTTTCACATGATTTAATTAGCTATTTATTTTTATATCGAAGCCCGAAGAACAGGAAATCAAATTGGTGTGGCCAACATTGAAATATCAAATATCAAGGATGAAGTTGCCTTTATCAACTCTTGTAAATCTTTTAATGTACAGGATTCCTGGAAGAATCTATTTTAGAACAAAAATTCCTTTTCATTGACAACTAAAGCAATAATTCCGTTTTTATTTAATACTAATAGTGTTTTCTTTTTCCTTATATATAATTGTTATATCTACTGAAGCTAATTTAATTTCTCAACAAAGCCTAGATCAAAAAGACTATGAATAATTGCTTACATTGGGGTGGATTTATATAAGTAAACTTTTTTCCAGTTGTGCAAGCTGAAAAAAAAGTGTGTGTGTTTTTTTTTTTTGTTTTTTTTTGGGGGGGGGGGGGCTGCATTTATAAAATTAACTAAATTAAATGACAGAGGGACTTAAAATAAATAAATGGCCATTTTCTAAAATTATTAATTAGGCCTAGATTGGAAAAGAATTTTGTAGGGATATTTACATCTTTATCAACTAAAGTATACAAACAAAGCTGAATTTATTAAAAAAAAATGCACATTTGAATATAAACAAGATTTTTAAAACTGTTCTAATATACCATGCAATTGATAATAAAATGCAACATCTAATTTTATTAATCATACTATTACTAATTACTGTCTATAGATAGGCCTATACCGTAGGCCTGTGTGTGGCACAGAGGTGCGGGTTAGTTAGCTCGCAATATAACCTTTTTCCTTCTGCAAATTAAATTGTAGAACATTTTTTTGAAGTATTAGAAAAATAAAAATAAAGGTGTTTGAAGTATTATCTCTATATCAGAAATATTTCCTAATTTTAGTGTAAATTGGTACGGTACATGATTCATGAATGAAGAAAGGCATTTTTTGCCCATTTGTAACCTTTTTTCAACTTAACGTCACACAGTATAGCTATTTAATCTTTTGCAATATTCTAAAAATATTTTGGAAGGAGATATCTTGTTTTTTTTCATATAATTTTTATATACGTGTTCATTTTATTAATTTCATAAACGTAAGTTTCAAAAATGTCAATTTCGCGTGTCACTGTGCGGACGTACTATCGAAACTTAGACCGGAAGTAAACAACCCCCCCTGCGCAAAAAAATATGCGCACGAACCAGAACGCAACATCACGTAAAGGGCTAAAGACGAGTCGGCAATCATACGGTATTATCTATGCTGTAATGGAAACACTATTAAACGCGACCAATTCGTATCACGTGACTCTCTAACCCACTCAACCGTAATATTATTATTTACTAATATTATTGTGATTTTAGAAATCATCGTGATGAATATTTTGAGTTAAACAAACGGAAAGATGGCAGATATTGGTGCGTAATGTTGTTGGGATGCTTGATAAATTGTGATTATGACTGTCTGTCGATTACTGCGTAATGTTCCAGTCTACTTAGTTTCAGCTGCACGACTACGACTACGAGAACGTGCACGTAAAATAACCTTTGACAGTTAAAATTCCATATTTATAAGAGTAGACCGCAGTGCTGCTGTACGAGAAAAAATCCCTCATAGCATACTTTATGACATATGGTCATGTGCACGTCTTCAAGTTCACTAGCCCAGTCAGTATGTGCAGACAAAACTACTATATAGGATATTTCATTCTGCTACACTGTTCAACACAGCGTTTTAGAGGTTGAGTTCATGTAGTATTGGTGATTATTTTGAAAATGACAAGTTTGAGAGCGCCCTGCTGACAGCTCACATCTGTCAGAATGAAAATTCATGGTGGCTGATCGTGTATCGAACTCGAAACAAAAATATGGGGTCTAGCTCTGTCATACAGTACTAATAGACACACATTGAAAATTAATCACCCCCTCCCTCCCCTCATTTCCAAGTAAACATATAGTAGGTTGCTAGGTATACATATGTGGGCAAATCCTGTAATTATTGGTTTTGTGCTAAATGATAAGGCCAGCTCAAATTTTCGTCATAGGTCACGAGATGTAAACAGGGCTACCGCTAATCCCAACCCAACCCCAATGGTTACCCTAACCCAAATAACCCACAATCTCACCAGACAACACATGCCCTAACCTTATTTACCGTACATCTCAACAAACTTGCCAAAAATTTAGATGGCCTTAACAAATAGATTTAGCTGTAATCATTGTGTGTTTTCTGATCTTATGAATGCTGGTGACGATGAATTAACTTTTATTTCAGAAAATGAATTAGATAATCAAGTAATGAATCAACTACAAGAATATAATGAACTACAAAAAGAGTATAATGTACTACAGAAAGAGTATACGGAACTACAGGAACATTTAAATGCAATGGAGATGAAATACCAGACAGAAATGCCTGACAATAATCACATCTCAGTTCCACAAAACACAGATTTTATGAAGAAATTATTTCATGATGTGGTTAATCTGTTTGGTAAACAAGAATTTAGGTTAGTTAGAAATCTGATTAAATTATAAGTGGGTTTAAATTAAGTTTTAACATATGTGTATGTGTAACAGGAGATTTAGAAAATGGAACGAAGATAAATTTGTGGACAAGACTTTTACTTGCATGCCAATATGTACACGGGACCTCGGTTTTTCGTTGCATTCAGCATCTGATCGACTACATGTATATGTTATCCATAGCCTGGCCCTAGTCCCAGCAGCACTAACAAGGAGAATCCTGAGATTTAGAAAATGGAACGAAGACAAACTTGTGGACAAGACTTTTACTTGCACGCCAATGTTTACACGGGACCTCGTGACTACATGTATACGTTGTCCCTTGCCAGGCCCTTGTTCCTGCGCACTGACAAGGAGGACCCGCAATTTGACTTTATCGGGATTGAACACGGGATCTCCCGGTTAGCAAGCTAACGTCTTACTCATTGAGTCATCGTGGCTCCCGTATGGCATATGTCCATCTTCATTAGCCCAGTTTGTGTTGAATAGTAGGACATTAAACCCTATTTCATTTCATTTCGCTAGCCTGCAGGTCGGGTGTTTGATCCCTGCATTGGCCGAGAAAGTTCATCCAGATTTTCCGACGAAGGGCCCGACAAGGACAGCTGTCTAGTCGTTCGGATGGGTTGAAAAACCAAGGTCCCGTGTACACATTGGCGTGCACGTAAAAGATCCCTTGACAGTTGGAATTCAATATAAGAGTAGGCCGTAGTGCCGCTGTCCGGGCAAAATTTCCCTCATAGTACACTGTATGGCGTATGCTCGTCTTCATTATCCCAGTTCGAAGCAGAACAGTAGGACGTTAAACCCCGTACTGCACCGCTGACAAGTTGAAAGCATGTCACTCTCAATCACAATCATCCAGATCTGGGAGGGTTTGATGGCCGAATGGTTAGCACCTGCGCTGTATCATAAGGTCTGTCATTGAGTCAACTGGCCTGTTTTCGATTCCCAGGTTGTATGTGACAAGGAGTAGGGTCGCCTATTCAACCTCGTGGATTTTGTTCAGGTCCTTCGGTTTCCTCTCACTGCTAAAGACCCCTATGCGCAAGCGAATTATTGAACAATGTGTTAGTCACGAAGTGGCCTGGTTTGTGTTGAGTGGACCTTAAACCCCATCTCTCTCTCTCTCTTTTTCTCTCTCTCTCTCTCTCTCTCTCTCTCTCTCTCTCTCCCCCTCTCTCTCTCTCTCTCTCTCTCTTTCTCCCCATCTCTCTCCCTCTCTCTCTCTCTCTCTCTCTCTCCCCATCTCTCTCTCTCTCTCTCTCTAATACCTTTAAATGAATCCTGATCTCGATTTATTTCAATTTTCAGTGATTTAACGATATTATTACAAGGTGGACATCGACTTTCTGGTCATAGATTAATTTTATCAGCTCGAAGTGATGATTGGGGTGACATTAATCTCAAACTGGATGATGAACTTAACTTTTCAGGTAAAATGATTCATAATTTACTGACCATCTCTTCCCTCTCATTACTTAAACATACATTATCCAAGAGCTAAATCTGCCTATTGCAGGTCTTAAGGCCTTAATCAATTAACTTACCAAGACCATAATCAACTCTCGATACTATCGCTAGCTTACAATATTTACAGGATTTGAATACATTTTGCAATATTTACAGGATTTGAATACATTTTGTGATGGATGATTTAAGGTCCAAATGGATAATCAAACTTCTGTTTTTTATCGTACCGACTTTAGCAATGATGATCGAGGCTAGGCCTAAAATTCAATCGCTAATATCTCAGTTTAATATTCTATTTAAGTCAGAGCAGAAGAATAGGATGCTTAATCCCATTTCATTTCATTTCATTTCATTTCATTTCATTTCGGAGCCACGGTGGCTAAGTGGGCATGACGCTGGCCTGCTAGCCTGGAGGTTGTGTGTTTGATACAAGAGTAGGCCATAGTGCCACTGCCCCGGCAAAATTTCCCTCATAGCACACTTTATGGCATATGACCGTCTTCATTACCTCAGACGAAGCAGAACGTTAAATCTCATTTCATTTCATTTTATATTTCATTTCAGATACAAATTATGAGGTAGCAATGGCTCTATTTAAATGGGTTTATACGGATGTTGTGGATTTAGAAAGTATGAAGGACCTATTTCTATTAGATCTTTTAAAAGCCTCTAAAAGATATCATTTACAACCACTGTATAAAAAGTAAGTCTAAAGGATTTGAAATTTGATATAGTTTTTTCCAAGTTTTATCATCAACTTACAAATATACCTGTATTCACATGGTCAAGTGTTTTAGATCTGTCATTGACTTGAAGGTATACACAGGATCTCAGATTTTTTTGTCCCATCCGAATGACTTGACAACTGTCCTTTTCATGCCCTCTGTCCTGCACCACTGACAAATGGGAACCACGTCGGAAAATCCTGATAAATTTTCTCAGCCAAGGCAGGCAGGGATCGAGCCAGCGTCTTACCCACTTATACATTGACGTGCATGTAAAAGATCCCTTGGCAGTAGGGCATCGATATAAGAGAAGGCCGTAGGGATGACATCAATGCGGCTTAATGAGCCACAAATATTAACTTTTTGTCTTCTGCAAATTAAATTCTAGAACATTTTCTTAAGCATTTTAAAAATAAATAAAGGTGTTTTGAAGTACAAGTATATGTAAGTAAAAAATTATTCCCTATTTAGTGTAAATGGGATGGAAAATGAGTAAAAGGCACCATTCTGCCCGGACCAGTAACGTCTTATGTGAACAATGCTTGCGCCATTGAGCCAATGATTGATACTGCCTGAAATCACATGCTGAAAACAGTCATCTTTTACAGAATTATCAGAAAGTTTCATAATCCTCTGTGAAACAGATTGGGTACTTTTATAATTGCTGTGTTAACTGTAGTTACCTCCCTTTGTCAATGTATCTCATGTTGGTAACTGACTGCATCACTTTTTCATGTAGCCTTTCCCACATTTGTTACAGTCATGCAATATGCTGTTTAATTGTTCCCAAATAAAATGTTTTTATTGCTAGGTGCCAAGATGCTTTGATAAAACTGGTTAATAAAGGTGACAGTAGAAATATTTACCAGACACAAGCAGAAACATCACAGGAAACTTTAGAAGATGATTGTTCAGATTTTATCAAAGCTATCCAGGTGAATAGAACTTAGTTAAACATATATTAGGCCTTAAATGTTATCTAAATTATTAATTAGACATTAATTAACCTATCCAGACCTTAATCAACTTTCGATGGCATCGCTAGCCTGCGATGTTTACTGGATTAGAACCCGATCTGCTGCTTCTGATTAAATCAAAAAATGGATAATCGAGACTATGTTTTTTATTGTACCAACTTTAGTAATGATGATCGAGGCTAGGCCCAAACTCAATCCTAAATACTCGGTTCAAAGTGGATCAATTTGACTTAAAAATGAAACTAACCATATTTTTAGTCCCAAAATGACCAAAGTATTGTATTGACATTTTAAAATCTCATATCATTCCATATTTCATTTCAAAGAGAGCCACCCACAGTGGCTTCTTTAAATTTGTAATTTTGATTTTTCAGGCCAAAATCATAAATAATTCTCCGATAGACAAGAGACGTGGGGTAAAAACTAGTAACAAAGAAAATAATGGCGATTATATTCAAAATGAGGAAGAACATCTTCACAACTGTTCTATGTGCGATGTGGATTTTAGTCGATCCCAGGACTTAATGGAACATTTGAAGATACATTCAGACGATTCCAGTCGATCTTTTATCTGTGGAATATGCGGCAAATCATTCACGTCTGCTAAACAGATACAGAAGCACGTGATGATTCATGCAGAAGGCAAACCGTTTGTTTGTTCGGTTTGTGGGAAACAGTACAAATGTAAATCGGGCCTTAAGAAACACGGCCTTGTCCATAGCGGAACGCGACCTTATCTCTGTGACGTCTGTGGAAAGGCTTTTACTCACAGTGGACACAGGACCACGCACATGGCGATTCACTCCAGCAACAAACCCTTTAAATGTACGCACTGTGGAAAATGTTTCCGTCTTCAACCGCAGATGGTAATTCATCAACGTATCCATACCGGGGATAAGCCATTTCAGTGTGAAATATGCGGAAAGACTTTCGCGTCGAGTGGTCATCGTAAAGTTCATCTCAGAACCCATACAGGCGAAAAACCCTTTAAATGCGACCAGTGCGATCGCGCTTTTCACATCCGGTCGCATCTGACGGATCATTTACGCAAACACTCCGGGGAGAAAAATTTTAAATGTGAAGTATGTGGCATGGCTTTCGCCATTAAAAGTTTTCTCACGGGACACAAGAAGATCCACAACAAGGACAAACCACATTCTTGCGGCTCGTGTGGCAAGACTTTTCACCGGAAACAACATTTAATCCGTCATACGAGGATTCACACCGGTGAAAAACCTTATATCTGTGATTTCTGTGATCAGTCCTTCGGTGATAAGAGTACGCATCAATCACATGTACGACGATTACACAGTCGAGATAATCCAATTGTTTGCACTGTTTGTGGTGGGCTGTTTGCCGATATAAACAGTCTAGATCGGCATAATACGGCAGAACATGTCATACTATACTGAGTTCATAGTATGGTAAAATCAGGTGAATTATTTAAATAAAATTGTACCATATATCAACCCCGAAATTTCCTAGTTTGTGGTGAGTGGATGTTACACCCCATTATATTCCACTATATTCGGGCACTAGGATGAGGGGAGGGAGCGGGGATATTCCACTATATGCTCTTCGGTTATTCTCGGATTTATATTGCATGTTTTGGTTTGTTTGCGTAAACCATGCAAAGTCTCTCAAACTTGTGGAACACCACAGGACCCACTCTAGTTCAGGCCGATTCGACCCCAAACCATTATGCTTGGACCTCCCCACGAGTCTCGTTTATCAGAATAATGCTGGCCACGTCAACGCCATATTCTGATCCTGCCATCTGCAGTTGATACCAATCGTCCAATACCGATTCTCATCTGTGAACAGAACAGTTCTCCATTGCCTGTGTCGTCAGTTCTGGTGTTGTTGGGCAAACTGTAGACGTTCACGTCGATGGCGAGGGGTGAGGATCGGTCCACGGTAAGGTCTACAGCAATGGATGTTCTCTATGGTGAGACGTCGGCGCACTGTATCACTGTATCGGTACTGAAGGGTCTATCGTGTGTTCCCACTGTCTGACGTGCTGTCTCAGATGCCTGTGTGGAGGGATTCTGCATGTGCTATCACACAACATGGCGGTCATGTCGCCTTGTGGTAACTCTTGGTCTACCAGTTCGGGGGCGACCATCCGTGGTTTTGGTGGCCCGAAAGGGTTGCTGAAGCCTGTAGATGGTCCGAACATTGACCTGGAAGTGATTGGCAACGGCTTGGGCAGTGTGGCCAGCGTCGAGTCTTCCAAGCGCCTGGTTCCTCTGAGCTGTCGGAGTCGTGGCATGCTGCTGACGTTGTAGTGTGAATGATTCAACCAGGCATTTTATAGGGCTGACCGCGGTGAACAGCACGTGCTGCATGAGTTACACGAAAATCATGAAGAACACATTACCATCTCAGAAGTCAGGTCGTACGTGACAAGGACTAGGCTCAGCCGTCCAACATCGTGGGTTTTTTTCCGGGTTCTCTGGTGTCCTCCCACTGCTAAAGACCCTGACGCACAAACAAATTATTGAAATAAAATTGAACCATATGTTAGTCCCGAAATGTGTTGAGTGGACCTCTCCCTCTCTCTCTCTCTCTCTCTCTTCTTACACAATAGTCTTTTGATCTAGTAGTCCCGCTGGTTCTACTTAGGTTTTGTTTTGTCGTGTCAAGCCGCTGGGTCGCACATAGACGTACTGGCCAGGGGGACAGGGGAAGTCAACTTTCGGCAGTCTGACTTTTCCTGCAAATGGGTCAAGTGAAAAAAAAAAAACAACAATATTTCATCTACTTTTCTTTTAATTGAATACCACGAATTTGTACTGAATTGACTCTGGATTAAAACATTTTGTCTGGAGTCACTCCACTTTGTGCGAAATTTTCGGGCATCGATTATTATTTGTGAATGCAGCTGCAACAGTCTGATTGAATGGCTGGAATTCAGGGTCGGTACTGAGTGGGATTTCGGTTACAAAACTATTGGACAACTTTGGAGTTGAGTTGCTTAACTCACGGGCTAGACTAGCTGAAAAACGCATTTGCTGCGGTTACGTGTTTAAAATTTTCTACAGGAGGGCGACCCCATACCCCGCGACGATTTGTTGTTTGTTTAAAATTCGGGTCTGCCACCGGATAGGCTATATTCAAGGGCTGAAATAGCAGAAAACGAGTTTGCGGTAGCTAAATTTTCTCTTGACAGTCCTGTTTCCGTGGACTGTTAACGATTGATTGGTTGATTGGAATTCGAGCCAGCTACCTTAATTATATTAGTAGTTCACTTTGAAGTATCTCTATTTACGGGCTAGAATAGCAGGAAAACGCGTTAAATTTTCCAAATTTTTGTTTTTTTTGAATAGTATATATATTAGACGTACAGAGGCTCAGAGCGTTGTTATTCTAGTATAGTAAGAGTCGTGTGAGAACTGATAAATACGGCTAAAGGGAGATAACACCATTTTACTGGATTACGAAACTAATATTTTAATTCGGAACTAGCTTAGTCTGGTGACTGCTCCGCGATATGCCTTGTACTGTAGTAAAAAACCGGTTGAATAAAATGTAATTGAAGTTAGTTACAAGTTGTTTGGTGAACAAGAAGATAAAACCCTACCCCCAACAGCGTAAAAGAAAATCTCCGCAATTATTTGTTTCTTATTCTTAGCTTTTAGAGCTGTTGCTGCTGGCACTATAGCCAGACGGATTAAAGAAACTTTGAAATTATCTGGTTTAGACACGGATACATTTAAAGCCCATTCGATAAGGTCAACATCTTCTTCTGTAGCCTTTAACTCGGGATGTCCTATTTCAGATATTCTCAAGACAGCCAATTGGTCAAACCAGGAGTGTTTCCAGAAGTGTTATAATAGAGAAGATGTGATGTCCAATTACTCTAGTAGTAGTTTTGTGTTAAAGATACATTATGTATGGGAGATTAGATAACGAGTTGGCAGTTCTCACTATAATAGTTAAAAACTAAATAATGTAAAGGCAATTTGCTGAATATTTCAGTCAAATTGATCCACTATGAACCGAGATTTTAGCGATTGAATTTTCGGCCTAGCCTCGATCATCATTACTGAAGTCGGTAGGATAAAAAAACATTTTCTCGATTATCCATTATGGCTGGAAGTCGAACAGCAAATCGGAACTTAATCCGAAAAACATCGCAGCTTAGCGATGTCATCGAGAGTTGATTAAGGTCTAATTAATAATTTAGATAACATTTCAGGCCTAAAGAAAGACCTGTAATAGGCAAATTTAGCTCTTGCATAATGTATGTTTAATTAATAAATAAATTATGATGATTTTTAGTGTCTTTATTTACTTGTTGACAATCCTTTAAACAATGCAATATAAATCCGAGAATTCCCGATGGTCATACAGTGGAATATAATGGCCGAATGGTTAGCGCGTTCGCGTAGTATCGTATGGTCTGTCATTGAGTCAACTGGCGTGGTTTCGATTCGTGACAAGGAGTAGGGTCGCCTGCCCAACCTCGTCGGTCTCCCCCAACTGCTAAAGACCCCTACGCACAAGCTAATTATTGAAATAAAATTAAACTATGTTAGTCCCGAAATGAACTAGTTTGTGTCGAGTGGACGTTAAACCTCATTTCTCTCTCTCTGGTATAATTCATAAACACTGTGTTATGAATAAAGTGAAATGGGGTTTAACGTCCTACTGTTCTGCTCCGAACTGGGCTAATGAAGACGGGCATACGCCATAGCGTGTGCTATGAGGGAAATTTTGCTCGGACAGCGGCACTACGGCCTACTCTTATATCGAATTTCAACTACCAAGGGATCTTTTACGTGCACGCCAATGTGTACACGGGACCTCGGATTTTCGTCAGCTGTCCTTGTAGGCCCTCCGTCCTGCATCACTGACAAGGGGAAACCACGCCGGAAAATCTGGATGAACTTTCTCGGCCAATGCAGGGATCGAACACCCGACCTCCAGGCTAGCGAGCCAGCGTCTTACCCACTTAGCCACGTGATCCCCTATGAATAAAGTCTTCCTAGCCTTTAGGGTTGGCGATACAATACTATATATTGACACATATTGTCATAAAACACGTACCGTATAATCTGGGGATTATATTTTCATATTTGTTCTTCCTGATGACAATAAACTTGGGACAGAACAATGCAGCAGAATTATGCCTGAAACTACTGTCTGGGCTTAAAGTGTTTGTATCATGTGTAATTAAACCACTTTAAAGGGACAATAACACCCTTGCTGGCTTGAAAGCTCCAGAAAATAAATAATATCTCTGTCTAAGTACTAGATGTTTAAGTGTCCTACCTGTTGTGTAAATTATTCATTACATCCTATTTTACTTGTCCAGAGGGTTCGAAAATATTTTTAAATCGAAGTTTCATTTGAAAAGGTTTACGTTAGACGTTTCAAACCATTATGTTGAATTTTTCAAAATTTTTAAATAAGGTGTGTTAAGATGAAATTTGTATCATCAATTAATTGAAATATTGTAAAATAGTACAATTTGTTGACCAGAATAAAGATTGGGACATATTATTCAGTTACAACAAGAGTGGTATTGAGCCTTTAAAGGAGTCAAGTCGCTAACTCAATATCATCTACTGTCTTCGACATTATCAACACGACTTGTTGTTAATTCAAATCGGGAGGTTGATAGCCGAATGGTTAGCACGCGCGCGCTGTATCATACGGTCTGTCATTGAGTCAACTGGCGGGGTTTCGATTCCCCGGTTGTACGTGACAAGGAGTAGGGTCGCCTGTCAAACCTCGTGGGTTTTCTCCGAGTCCTCCGGTTTCCTCCCACTGCCAAAGACCCCTATGCGCAAGCAAATTATTGAAATAAAATTAAACCATATGTTAGTCCAAAATGACCTAGTTTGTGTCGAGTGGACGTAAAACCCTATTTCTCTCTCACTCTCTCTATCTCCCCCCCTCTCTCTCTCTCTCTCTCTCATGTTAAATAACATTTGACTTCCATCTTAAACCCCATTTCTCTCTCTCTCTCTCTCAATTCAAATCGAAACTGATGTTCCTCCCACTACTAAAGACCTCTACGCGCAAGCGAATTATTGAAATAAAATTAAAAACCATATGTTAGTCCCGAAATGACCTAGTTTGTGTCGAGTGGACGTAAAACCCTATTTCTCTCTCACTCTCTCTATCTCTCTCTCTCTCTCTCTCTCTCTCTCTCTCTCTTCCGGCGTGGTTCTCCCTTGTCAGTGATGCAGGACGGAGGGGCTGACAAGGAAAGCTGTCTAGTCGTTCGGATGGGACGAAAAACCGAGGTCCCGTGTACACATTGGCGTGCACGTAAAAGATCCCTTGGTAGTTGGAATTCGATATAAGAGTAGGCCGTAGTGCCGCTGTCCGGGCAAAATTTCCCTCATAGCACACTGTATGGCGTATGCCCGTCTTCATTAGCCCAGGTTAGGAGCAGAAAAGTAGGACGTTAAACTCCATTTCATTTCATTTCATTTCTCTCTCTCTCACATCAACACAGTCGTGTAGACAAGCTGGTGGATGTTAAATAACATTTGTCTTCCATCTTACTGGACTTACATTTCGTCAAGCTAAAGCAAATACGGCTTAAGTCATTTTTTTTCAAAATTTAGATTGTGGGCTTAAAGTGTGTACGACCGTCAGCTTCAATGACTACTTGAAGGAATTTACACAAAAATTGTAAAATTTTATGTTTTTTGGGAAAATTGGAAACTGCCTAAATCAATATTTGAATTAGGCAATATGTGTAATTTGACTTAGGCAAATCCCGCCTTAAGCTCAACATACACAATGGCTTAATGTAGCTAAGTCTCTAACACAGTATCATCCAAAGTCTTACACATTGAAAACACGAATTATTTGTCAATTCAAATCAACATTGATGTTGTAATCTTACCGAGAAAAGGTGGGCTTCTGATATCCAGTATATAGACCGGGAGCCCAGGGGGTCAACCTAGCTCAAAAGTGTACCAATTTTCTCCTATATGGTATCAATGTATGTATATCTGGTATCATCGGAATGTAAGTCTGCCGGGTTTCTGGTGGTGGGTGTGGTATTCCACGCCCTAAATGCCATGACCCCCAACTAGGCTAGATTAGCTCAAAAGTGTACCAAATGAATATCGTACAGCAGTATACCGTACATCTTCAGGTATTACAAAAACACTCTGACAGACATTTCTAGTAGTGGGGTACCCCTGACAGAGCTATGGAATTGCCAGACAATTGTAGTGGTGGAGTATCCCTGACAAGAGTTATCTAATTTCCAGACCAAAGCTAGGCTAGATTAGCTCAAATTTGTACCACCTAAAACAGCTTTGGAGTTGTTCAGTACCACGAGAGGAATCATGAATGACCACTGCCAGACAGTTTGTGCGGTGGGTTACCCCTAATAGACACGCCCAAAATGCCACGCCCTCCAACTAGGATAGATTAGCCGGCACTGATGATACCAGATATACATACATTGATATTATACATGTACAAGAGAAAATTGGTACACTTTTCAGCTAGGTTAACCCCCTGGGCTCCCGCTCTAATATAAGACAAAATAAACATTTAACCATTGGTACACGAATCGTGTACCAGATATACATACATTGATACTATACATGTACAAAAGAAAATTGGTACACTTTTCAGCTAGGTTAACCCCCTGGGACACGAATCGTGTACCATAGTGAGTTTCAACGTCACTTGTAACAAGTGACCACAAAGAACGAGGATAGACATATTCAACAACTCATGTCAAACGGTAACGCCATATCTTATCTGGAGAGCACGCACAATAGACTGTAATAACCAGACGCTAGAAATTGGCATTTGGTTGGGACTCATGCCGTATTTCGCTGGACATAAGTGATTTGAAATTGAGTCAAAACGGAAACAATTGAATGTAAATCAGTTTATATACAATCAGATTACATTATTATATGCGTTGGGTCAATTTCTAGATCCCAAATATTAGCGATTTAGCTATTTTAAGCAATTTTTGCACTAGGTTAGGTATTTAGAAAATAGGATAGAATTATGACATCAAAATTCTAAAAGTTAACCACTGCCGATGTCAAATTTGATAAGGAATAAAGGATGCCTCAGATCACTAAAGATCATGTAAATAACACCGGAAACGACTACAATTTTTAATTTAAAACAGTTTTTTGTCTTTCCTGTAAAATTCTGGAAAAATTTTGGTTGAGCTTGACGATTTGTTAGATGATTAAAAGCCCTTTTTTTGACGAAATGAAATAAAATGAACTAGGGTTTAACGTCCTACTGTTCTGCTCCGAACTGGGCTAATGAAGAGACCTTTTACGTGTATGCAAATGTGTACACGGGACCTCGGTTTTTGGTCCCATCCGAACGACTAGGCAGCTATCCTTGTCAGGCTCTCCGTCCTGCATCACAGACAACGGGGAACGACGCCGGAAAATCTGGATGCAGGGATCGAACACCCGACCTCCACGCTAGCGAGTCAGCGCCTTACCCACTTCACCACCGTGATCCCCCGTTTTTTGTTTTTTGTTGTTTTTTAGTTTGTTTTTATTTGACGAATAGCTCGAGGTAAATTAAGCTTCCGAGACAAGCCTACTTACCGTGTAAGATTAAATCTGAAACTCTAAAGAAACCTTTAGGGCCTTCCTGTAGACATTAATGAATAATAATCATGTAGCGTATTTTGTATCTTATGATGCCGTCAGTTTCTTAAAATCCAATAATTATATTATAGTCGCATAACAAAACAAAAACCCCAATAGGTTTTTCTTGTAAATTAAAACGGAAAGTGACCCGTGGCAATGTCTTGAAACCTCTACAGACCACAATAATGTCGATTAACACACGAGATGTCTGGTATTAAGTGTCTTAAAAGTTAAGTATCAGGCATTCTATTTAAAAATAAATTAGGTTTTTTCAGATCGTTTCCTGCTTATGGAAGAAAAACATACACCGCCCCACCCCACCCGAATCCCGCTTCTCTATTAATAAAATAATTTGTAATGTTTAACTCCACGGGGGAGGGGGGGGGGGTTTGATGGCCGAATGGTTAGCACGTGCGTGCTGTATCATACGACCTGTCATTGAGTCATCTGGTGTGGT